TCCGTTTGACTATTCTTTCCAATATTTTAATTACAACACTGGTGAGGCTTACAGGTCTGTAGTTCAATGGAACTTGTCTTGGTCCTGTTTTATGTATGGGAGTGCCGATCGCGTCCTTTCATTCCATATGTAACACACCTTGGTCAAGTGACATATTGAATATCACAGTCAGGGGCTACGATATATTATGCAACATGTCTCAAAATTTTGGGGTGTAGTTCATCTGGTCCTGTTAACTTTTCCATGTCTAAGGTGATAAGAGCCTTAAGTACATCGTCTCGATCAAAGTCCACGGTGAGCAGGCGGACTGTTTACTGTATTTGAGTCTGGTTATTTGTCTAGAAGAGGTTCCTGAGTAAAAACTGCCCCAAAATAGACAACCAAAGCCTCTGATTTTTCCTGATCTTCCTCTATCAATTCAGATTCACTCCTTTCTTTGATTAGGTTGAAAATCCAATGTCGCATCCGTGTTCTGTAATTTATGTACGAGAAGTCTCTTAGGTTGCTTTGGTGCAGATTGTGCCAAATGCATTTCATACTTTCTCTGAGCTCCCAGAATTTAAATTATACACGTGTTTCTTACCGACCTGTAGCGTTCCATCGTACCTGCTATGCCAAGACTAATAGCTACATCCCAACATTTCTTCTTTAGTCTTTGTAAACGTCGAATATCCCGGCGTATCCAGCAATGGCCGTGCTTCTTCTTCCTCTTTAGGACTGTCCAGGGTATATATGGTTGAGTTAGCCGATTGTATAACTGCTATAAATGAGTCTGTGCCTCTTCTACTGATGTTGCTGAGTCAATTTAGCCGATGATGCAGAGTTTATTGCCTTCATATCTGCCTTTCATATGTTAGGATGGGCAGAAGCAACTGCTTGACAGGTAATCGCAGACATAAATTTGAACTATATGACTGCATGATCGCTTCTCTTTAGTGGTGGGAGGAAAGTCATTTGACCTGCGTCATCACCGTGTGTGAAGACTAAATCCAAAAGAGAAGGGGAGCTGTTTAATTCATATCTTGTGGAGTCTCTAATGTGTTGGAATCAGCAGAGAATTTGTAGAACAACCAACGTGACAATCGCTTGAGGAACCGTTTGTATGCAGCTGGTGTGAGTCCGATGCACACATTGTGATACCACTTATTGCAGTCATCACATTGCGTCCTATCATCTACAGGGAAATAGCATACCGGTCTGCCACAACGATGTTTCAATTGCGCCACAAATTTGTTTTATGTTTATATACATCAAAAATAGATATGCCTGACAATGAAAAAACCTACTTTTGTAGTTGCAAAAAGACCTTAACACCTATGGATAAAAGTAGTACCCAAAGATATTCTCAACGATGAAGAATAAATATCAGTGTTTTTAGTTATTTTGTATCTGTACTCATAAAGTACAGATGATGAAGTTTTCTAGAGAAAAAGCGGTTTATTTATTTATTTGAACACATATTGGTACAAAGGGGCACCAAATACATATGCGCCACACAAAACAATGAGAATTTAAAGAGTAGTGGAAAAAAAGAAAGCAGGGTAAGGAGCGTAAAAAAAGCAATAACGAACAGATCAGTGTAAGGTAGTGTAATAGTAGTAATAATGAAGGAAACAAAAAAGTAAAATCAGAAGAAATCTTTCAGTTAAGGAAGAAGCAACCACTTTTTACGAAGAAAGTAAAAGGAGGTTACAGCAGGATTGCCACTGGCTTCTATTCTGAGCCATATCTGACAACGTTTCTAGCCATTGTGTTACACCATCTCTCGGATCCCAGCCAGGGAGTCGTGAAGGACCAACACAAGCCAGTGGTACTCTCGAGGATTACTTTAACTTGTAGATCACCAGCGTGGATGATCTATGTCGAAACGATTGGAGGCTTACTCGAGTTAGACGTGAGTGGTGTGACAAACTAGCTAACGTCGAAGTCACACTTCGCGGTCTGCAGCTTACATAGATTACCCCATTGACATATCAAGGTACTATAGATGCTTTGAAGACTGTACAACACAGAGGACGTTATTACAGAAATATATTAGTTAAAGCAGATACAAGCGAAGGTAAGACCACTGCCGCATGGGCCAGTCCATGGCGTACGATTAACTGATGCGCGTTGGTTGTCCTTGACATTGACGAGGATTGATGATTTTGTCCGATATTCAATGGCTAGGGCTCAGTGGAATTTCACTGGCCCGACAAACTGAAATAAATCTAACTAAAGCAAAAACAATAGTCTTGATGCGTAATTTAACGATCAGTACTATAAAATATACTCAGGGGAAAAATACCACTGTTCTTTTTGAATAATACGAATAATATGAATCCTCTGGGTATTGCCGAGCTGCAAACCAAATGGAAACGAGGCGGCAGAAACTGATCGAGTAACAGCAAGTAATAATATGTTAGTAGAACGTTGGTTGAACGTAAAGCCATTAACCATAGAAATAATAAAAAGAACATAACGTCGCGCTGAAGTATATAGCTTTGATAAGTAATTGAGTTTCTCAGATGAGAAACATTAACTTTGCCGCAAGAGCAATGATGCTATAGCGATAGTAGGATAAGTGTATTATCAATCGATACGGATGTATATACTGCCATTGATTTAAAGATGAATGTCAGACAGTGTCGTTGACAACTTCTGGCTATATCTATATTTAACAGACTAACTGTAAGTACAGAAGTATAGCCGTGAAGAATGATCGTGATTTTGTTGCGCCAAGCTATTAATCCACTTGTAGTCAGTTTTGAATGTCGATGACTGCTGTTACAGTCACTAAGGATTGAAGGCTACAAATCGAGAGCAAAGACGGCACAATGAAGTCTCTAAAAGATGATAAACGGTGCTTGCTGCTTGTTTGTTCGATTAGCCAACAGAAAAATATCGAAAAGACCATAAGAATCCAAGAGTGCTACTCTGGACTCATGTCAATGATACCAGTGAAAAACGCTGTCCGTGTTGGGATAGAGGCGACAATGTCGTTTTCAGTGTGCAGGAGATTCGCTCAACTGCACAAACTGATGATTCGCGCGGATGATAGTGTCGTCAGATCACCAATTGAACTGGACAGGTTTTGGATCGTCGTATAGTTGAGCAGCCGATCTATGTACCGAAATTATCTTTTAGATAACAACCACGAGGAAATACTTCATAACATAAAGTACGATATCGAAGTAGAATAACTACAATAGTTCGTATGTATTATAAAGTCAAATCTAAATAATATCGTTCTTACGTATACTGATAGTTGCTCTGAAGGTTCGTTTGGGTATTATTAGCGTAACAGTTAGACGTTTGGAGAAAAATATATACGAAAACTATGAGTGGGTTCGTGGAGAATTTTTGAGGGAGTTTAGATATTTTCCAAACCATTATTGCATACAAGTAAATCGAAAATGGAATTAAAATGACTGTCCTGTAATAAGGAGATCGAGCCATGATTTACCGTGTGAAATTATAGCAAATACAAGGAGCATAGTAAACAATAATTAAAATGGTAACCACTAATGTATCTAAAGTTTAGAGGGTTCAGATTACGTGGCTATTTCGTACAAAGCTGATGCAAGGAGCTTGTTACCTAGCGTTAAGTGACATATTACGTACGACAAAGTGTCTACTCAGGACATGAAATAAGATTGTTCGTGTACATGCAATATGTTTTACCATAGTATGTCGATTAACGAGTCACAAATGTACATGATTCCGACTAAAACTTAACGGAAGTGACAGAATATATGACTACTTAACATGAAAGCAACTACGAAATGTTATTACACATCATAAAGATGGTACGAAATAATCTAATGATTTTATGAAACTCGCCTGGGTTACTCTTGCTTTCAAGTAATGAATATACGAAGTGGACAGTAGTTAAAATCTGGATTATATACGAGGTACTGTTGATTAGATTCTTCGATTAACACAGCGTTGTAGACTGAATTAGTACAAGTCCAGAATAAATTCAAGCCAAATACGTAGCATTGCCTGACGAAAAGTCTAACCGAGATCTAAGATTGCAGAACATTTATAGTTCGAACACACCGCAAATTTCTAACATTTGTATCCTCTGTTTGGCCATGGAACTCGAGAATTGGAAATTAAGCAGGCGATGGTCAAAAATAGAAATATTCTAGTGGATAGAGGTTAAGCAGGAAGACGAATTTAAAGTCGACAGTTAATCTTTTCTCGCATAAACTATTGGATAAGTTACAAACCGATGTGCGTTCGTGTTGCCTTGTGGCTATACCCACGAGTGGTTGATATTTTAACAGACATATTACACAGGAGAATTTATATGCTGCTAATGCTAGTTAAAGAACCACGATAGACGATTATAAGCGTAGTTGACTAGTTAGTACTACCTACTGAACTAGTTATTTGAGTTTAAATACTAATCAACATTGACATGAAGCAACGAAAGTTCCCAGTAACAGATTAACATAGGCGATGATAAAAATGGAAAAGAATAAGTATAGATTGCAATAATAAAGACTATAATGATAGGTTACGTTATTCGCAGTCTTGCTCACCAGTGTAGATCACCGAGGGGATGATCTATGTCGAAATGATTGGAGGCTTACTCGAGTTAGACGTGAGTGGTGTGACAAACTAGCTAACGTCGAAGTCACACTTCGCGGTCTGCAGCTTACATAGATTACCCCATTGACATATCAAGGTACTATAGATGCTTTGAAGACTGTACAACACAGAGGACGTTATTACAGAAATATATTAGTTAAAGCAGATACAAGCGAAGGTAAGACCACTGCCGCATGGGCCAGTCCATGGCGTACGATTAACTGATGCGCGTTGGTTGTCCTTGACATTGACGAGGATTGATGATTTTGTCCGATATTCAATGGCTAGGGCTCAGTGGAATTTCACTGGCCCGACAAACTGAAATAAATCTAACTAAAGCAAAAACAATAGTCTTGATGCGTAATTTAACGATCAGTACTATAAAATATACTCAGGGGAAAAATACCACTGTTCTTTTTGAATAGCGCGCGACCTTCTTCATATACTTCTGATTTTAAAGTCAGGGGTATGGCGAAACTTTTTTGCGCTACTTCTTCATTCCTGCTTTGTGCACAGTCAAAACTTGAAATTTATTATAATTAAATTTGAAAGTTCATTGTCCGTCTTCATAATTAAGTGAAAAGGGGTTTTCCCACTTTGCGGTACATGGTTTCTCGAAGTCTTTGAAAATTCATTATTCAGGTGCTACTATAGTAGTTTTTTCGTATTTGCATCGCAGACTGGCAATTATTTCTACTTAACTATACACTCAGAGCAGACAAATCATTTATCTTCATATGAAATGACATTATCTAAGCTACTGCGGGTGAAAACTACATTGATGCACAGAGTACTTTAAGTAAATATTTCGACCTCTTAATATTTACTTACTATATCGCAAGAGACTAACGTGTCTACTATATGGTCTGCTACATGTGTAAATTTATGTTAATTTAGCCTTTTCGATTATCTATTATTTCTTATTTCAGAGACGATTTGATTTTTGTGTTTCATGAAATATCAATAGAACTGGGTAATGATATAATCGATCCTCTTAAGTCAACTATCTATTTTTACTGTTATGTATATATAAGTTAACAGATTTCTAATTGCCATTTTTATTCAAAGTAAGTTGTTTATCATACATTAAACTCATTATCACTAAGTCCCCCAATTTTCGTTAATGGAGTTCCCTAATCTAGGAGCGAACTGTTCAGTGCCAACTTGTCGAATGCTTGGTACGTGTGAATCCCCAAGTTATATTATTCTAGATTTCTTACCCGTTCGGTGTTCTGGATGTCATGGTGTTTTCTGCAAGAACCACTATCTGTACGATAGTCATAATTGTAAAAGTCCCGATCTTAAGGATAAACAGGTCCCTGTGTGTCCCTTGTGCGGAACCATAGTCCCTCTTAAACCAGGCGAGCTTCCAGATGTAAAAGTCGGGAACCATATCGATACAGATTGTCGGTCAAAGCCAGCTTTAGAGTTAAAAGGAAAGGTTAGTGGTCCATTATATCTGATGTAATGTTTATAATGCTTCCATTTTATACCATCCTCAATAAGATTTGTTTTTTCTATGGCAATGGATACAAAATGGCCTGCTGCTACCTCAGTATGTGTCAGAATTCGGTTAGAATGTTATAAGCATACAGTAATACATTTAGGCATAAAAGTCATCAACGCAGTCTGTCAACAAACCTTTTTAGAGGAATCATAGATTTTAGGCATAGTGGTGCTAAGTAAGTGTGAAGAATTGGATGGTAAGGTTGTAACTCTTTATTAATTGAGATGTCTGGAATATGTGTTAAGCATGCATAGTTTTTGTCTGGAGTATGCGAAATAACCATGTTCTGTAGTTTTATTTATTTATTATTTATTTTAACACATAAGTATAGGTACAGGAAGGCACCAAATACATATGCGCCACACAAATCTCAATTGATTTGTGTGAGGGCTGTGATACTGCCCGGGTGCCCAAACCGAAGCAGGTGGTTTTCTTAGGGGGCCACACCCCGAGCCTTTGACCTGAACGTCTGACCCACAAGGCAGTGGAGCATCGTGAGGAGATGCAGTCCCATGGTAGTCGGTGACCAACGATTGGTTCATACGCCATTTGTTCCCGCAGGATACTGGAGCCCATGTGCACCATTGGTTTGGGGTCCGGTTAAAGCGCCAGACATTCGCTTTTCGTCCTCTCATTTTTGTAAACAACACCCCCGCCACGAGAAGGCAGTGAGTAGGACTTCCCTGGCAGAGGATATATACGCATGGCCACGTGAGAGCATTTCGAGAGGGAGAGCGGACTCTCCCCACTCTCGGCCGTACCAGGGCATTCGGGGGCATGTTAGTTAGAGACAACATGATCCAAAATCGACCCCATTGGTGCGAATGCTTTAACTTTATCCCCTTGTGTGTTCGGAACACATTGTTTGTCTGTATTCTGCATTTACTTTGTTTGAAAACACAACAGTACGGTGTCAAAATGTCGAAATACTCCCAGTTAATTTGAGGTTGATTTCAAAAAGACCATTGTAAACTTTGACTAATAATCACCGAATTAATATTTCTATTTTTGCAAGAATTTCCATAGCGTAATAGTCTTTATTGTGAGAAAGTTTCTAAAGGGTTGCCTACTGTAACCTGTAGACTAGTGTGGATGAGTTTATAGCATTTAAATTTAATTTCATTTGGCGAAATTCCGGTCTGTTAGAGTCGTATGTATTAATATTGGTCAGTTGTGTGTGTCGTTGTTATGAAATAATATTCCACTGTCATTACATTCACATTCATGGTACTAATTGAGTTGATTTTAATATAGAATCTTGGATTACAGTTGACTTCCTGAAAATTAGTGAGTTCCAGAAAATATCACCACCGGGTGTTTCATATATAACCAATTTTTAGCTACTCGATTAACGTTCGAAATGTTACTCTCATTTCTCACTTCAAACCCAGTGGTATTCCAAATATTGAAGACTGTTCGATTGAAGGAAAGATCAACCTTTATGTATTAGAAGCCATAACAGTATGTGACGATATGGACTGCCTAATGATGGGCTGAGACTTTGATCTAACTGTTGTTCTGTTTAACGTCTATGAGATTTGGTCATGAAATTATTCATCACTGTCTGTTTTGCTGTTGGGTAGTGAAAATTTCAATACACCGTAAGACCCATCAATATGCATTGTAGACACAGTATAAAATGCTGTCGACCATAGAAAATCATCCCGAAAGACATGATAGCTTACCCACATGTTACCTACACCGCTTCAGCTAATTTAATCGTTGTTTGGACAATGCAACGACATAATCTGGGAGTAAGATGAAGACCCCCAAATGCCATGGTACGGCCGAGAGTAGGTAGAGACCGCTCACTCTCCCGAAATGCTCTCGCGTGGTCACGCGTATATAGCCTCTGCCAGGGAAGTCCTACTTACTGCCTTCTCGTGGCGGGGGTGTTGTTTACGAAAATGAGAGGACGAAAAGTGAATTTCCGGTGCTTTAACCGGATCCCAAACCAATGGTGCACATGGGCTCCAGTATCCTGCGGGAACAAATGGCGTATGAACCAATCGTTAGTCACCGGCTACCATGGGACTGCATCTCCTCACGATGCTTCACTGCCTTGTGGGTCAGGTGTTCAGGTCGAAGGCTCGGGGCGTGGCCCCCTAAGAAAACCACCTGCTTCGGTTCGGGCACCCGGGCAGTATCACAGCCCTCACACAAATCAATTGAGACTCGTGTGGCGCATATGTATTTGGTACCTCCTTGTACTAATACCTATGTGTTAAAACAAATAATAAATCAATAAGTAAGACGAAGAGTAGTTTTTTCAGGCTAGTTTCTGCTGTTACCTTCATACTAAGGTTACAGGAACTATGGATCCAGTGGCTTAAAACGTTTGGAATAAGTCGAGATCATTGTCAATGGAGATTATACCGTAGATTGTCTTCTTTACAGGACGAGTCCGGTAAACTATGCACAAATAAATTAAACATTTAGTTACGCTCCCATTTGTTTGTTTCTTATCATGAATCTTAACCTGTTTCGCTCATTTTCATAACATGTAGTAGTCGTGCTTTTCTTGACATCCATCTGGTTGTTTACATTCCTAAAAAGCCTCAGTTTTAGAAATGATACTTGCCGATAATTATTTATAGTGATGTTATTGTTGTTATCTATAATTAGAGATTAAGTGTTGTCAACCATCCTTATAAACTTTGATCAATTTAACGAGCATACATTACAGAATTTTCGCCAATCCTCTTGAAAATATAAACTGTCGGAAACGATACCCTTTTTATGGATCTCTGACGTGATAGTAAAATAATTAGTGAGTGTAAACAGTTCAGTTTTCTCAAATGAATCTTTATAGAGGAAAAAGTTATCAAGCCTGTTGCCAAATATTATAAATATCTTCCCTGTATTCAAGTCATACTGATTTAGTTGGCGGAAATCTACCTGCTAAGTGGCATATTTTGTTTGGAAATGCAGGGAGAATAGATGTAAAAGAGACTGATAAGTCGTAAAAGTAAACCATTAAAGCACAAACACTACTTACTTCAGTATTAGTCTTGAAGTCATTTAAGCTAGAAAAATGATCATACTGTAAGTTTCTTCGAAAAGTTTTGTTGAACAAACAAATTAGACAACTATGACTGATGAAAGGAACCACTAGATGACATCAGTTACAGAAACAAAGATGCTTTCATACAAACAAATCAACGATTCAATATACAGTTGTCTCATTCTCGAAATTCAATGAAGTCAAAGTGAGAAAATCGTGTCAGAAGTCAAGTGAATGCAATAAACTCCTATAAGTAATAACTACAAGAAAACTACAACCATAATTCAGTTTAAATTCTTGATTGCGTTGATTATTGCAGCAGTGGTTTAGCGGTCAACTCTGTCCAGAGCCCCAGTAGGGTTACTTCTGACTCCAAGTCCAGATAAAGAAGATCTAGGCATAAAAATAACAACTCCATCCCGTAAGGACGCTAACTGAAAAAGTCATTTTAACCATTTAAAATCTGTCCTGAGAGTTAAAAGACCTTCATTTAAAAAAGTTATTACTCCTCATGGTGAAAGCTGAGGTTCTCCGAAAATGACGAGGCTGATGCCCTTTGACAACCAGAGCAACAATTGATATGAGTACGTTGAATGTCTGGACATAAATGTGTATATGTACTTGTTTTGTCCTCAGTTGAGATTATTACGTAATTCTGTTCTCTTCTTTGTCTATAGTTATTCACAAATGCTTGCTGTGTCCCACGATGTAAAAAGAAAGAACTTATACCTTTTGTTTGTGATAGATGCAAATCAAATTTCTGTATTTCACATCGTAATGAATTAGATCATAATTGTAAGGGATTTCAACAAAATCTGAATAATTCTAGAAAGTTGTCAACTTCTGGTGCAGCAGCTCTCTATAGAGCTATCTTTAGCAATTTCAATACAAATTCGACTTCGAAGGTGAATTTTTTTGTCCTGTTTGCATATATGTATGCGAAGGTTGGAAAGGGTCATCTTATTTGTCATTTTAACTATAAGTATAATTTATAAATCAACCTTATTCTTTTTGCATTAAAGTATTACATGTGAAAGTTTGATTATTTTGCCTACAAAAATAATCCAGTCGATAAACAAATGATTGGAATGGAGTATATTACAAGAGAGAAATTGTTTCATATCATACCTGACAGATTGGGATGTGGTCTTGAGTTCTGGCTCAGAATCGATCACAATGGCGTAGATGTATACACTCTCTGTCTTCCCTTAAACTATGAGATCAAAATTGCTTTATATCTTTCGTTTTACGAACTAATTCTTTCTTCTTGTACTATATCCTTATATGTAATCCTTTTTTATATACTACCACCACTGAAGTAACTACTCCTATGAATTTTGTGTTCATGTTGTTGTGCTAATGAGTAAGGTGTGGCAACCTGGACCGATGCACATATGTGCCTGGTCCTACGTTGTAGGTGACTGACTGATTGGGATGTGGGAATCTGTACTACAAACATATTCGGCTATAATCTCTTATTTATATAAACAGATAAATCCTAGTACATTTGGGCACCGAAAATGCGGCATACAAATAGTGACCATGTTGTGAAGAAATAAAGAGAAGAATATTCAATAAATAAGTACGTAATCAGAAATTTAGCTCAGTTGAGAATCAAACCAAGATAAGCTTTCAGTGAAGGGGATTCGTGTAATTTGTATGAAGATTGTTAGAGAAAACTAAAATGGGGTCGCCACTGGTCTTTATTCCGAGTTATATGCGATAACGTGTCAAGTCACTGAGTTCCACAATTTCCAGTTCTCCAACCTGTAAGTCGTGATAAACCAGTAGATTCGAGCCCTATAAGTTATCTTTTATTCCACAGTGCCGTGTCATAAACTGACCGTTTCTTTACTTTTTTCACCCAATCCTAGCGTCGAGAAGTAATTTGCGATATCTAAGCCGCTTGGGTAAAATTTGTAAAGGATGACTGAGCTACCGAAACTGATGCTTAAACATTGTGATACCAAATAACAACATAGGCATTGCTAATATTATCGCCGCTAGATGTAAACGATTCTTCTGAAACAAAATTGATCGGACAAAGCCATCGGACATCCTCATCTCGGAGACCAGGTTTCACAAGTATGATGTGGAAGTGTTGTATAACCGACCTTATACAACCAGACTAACGTTATAACGACACCAGAGATGACCCAGGTCAACATTAATCTCTCTAACATTCACTATATGTAGACTAATTTCATCAACCACTCCAAAACCAACATTTACCTAACTATGTAGATGCATCTCTGTGTTGACGTTTATGTTGGGTCATTGAGATTTTCCGATTGGGTAATGTTTGGTAGCTTAAAAAGGCTGTCGACAACTAATGAAGTAGTCACTTAAGTTTAATTCTGATTTATCCGTAAACTAATGAATTAACTGCTTCCACATTGATTGTGTGATGTATATCAAATTACCCGGTGTCCCGTCGAAGCCTAGCTTGCAATTCTAAGCAAATAGAATCTTGTCATCAACTGTAAAAGACTCAGTGATTATGTGATCAAATGAAGTGTTTTCGTAATGATAATTTAATTTCCCCACCCTTTCTTTCGTGAGAAAAATTAAATAAGTTGGACAACGAAACTACTCATTTTATAATGTCATGTTACCAAACAGCGAAATTCCTAGACTGTTAGATAGGAATATTCCAGATGAGACTTGAAAAGTGACTAGCCAGTCCTCCTTAAATCAGTTTTTTATACAGTTGATTGGTCTTAGTGCAAGTGAAAATGATCAGTTGGTTGCTGTTTATTACCTTTAAATTTTCACAATGCGAAATTCAGTTGTGTGTTCCTGTCACATTGTTCTTTTGATATGGTCTCTTTTTGATAATTTGTAGAATGTATCGCCAACAAACACGATTCACTTATCATCACCTGTTGATCTTTCACTGCCATGTAGTGTAAATTCCCGTGAACTTCAGGAAGAAGAAGATTTACAACTAGCTTTAGCATTGTCTGAATCACTTTCCAGTCGAACATCTCATTCACAACCGTCTAGAAGAACACATCACAATACCTCTTCAAAATCGTCGTGTAATATTTCTTAATTTATTTGCTATTTCTATGTATAGAGTAAACTCACTTTAAGCTTCAGGTTATATATGCTCATGTACCAATTCTTTAAAATACAAGATTTTGATTATGTTTTTCTTTCCTGGTAATATTTAAAGAACAAATATGTGTCGTGATTTTACAGCTTACTTTTTTTACTCAACAAAGATTTTTATTTATAAAAAAGTGATGTAATTTACTGTTTCAATTTATTCTAGTCCGAGTTCAATATTATCCTCTTACTATTGTCTATATTGATTGTGGGAATTTGTACAAGCTTAATTGTAATGATGATACTGAATTCTTTCACAAATAGATTATATTTTCCAAACGTTTTCTAGATTATTTTGATTTATTTGTGGAGCCTATTAATAATAATTAGGGAAAAGTGAATACAGCATTCCGACTTACGATGCAATTCTGAAAATCAAGAGAACTGTCAGCCAACAGCAAAGTCAGAGTTTCCAATACAGACGTAAAGACAGTTCTGTTGTGTGGGGCTAAAACTTGTAGAACTACTACAACCAAGTTTCAGATTTTTACAAATAGTTATCTACACAAGATGCATCATATCCGTTGACCGGGTATGAATAGTAACTACCTGCTGTGGTAGAGAACGGACCAGCTTCGAGCTGAGGAGGTAATTAGGAAAGGACTCGAGAGGTGTGTAGAACACATGGCAGAAGTCATCAAACTGAGTCAGGAATCAAGCTTTAATATGGAATCGTGAAGGAAAAAGGGAAAGGCGCAAACCAGAAACACATTGCACCACGAACTGGTGGCAGACAGCAAGAGAATGGATAGCACTTTGCGACAATTAGAGAGGAGAATCTAGGATATAGTTGGTTAGTGAATAATGGTCGGCGAGCCATGCTGCATGAGGGATAATAGAGGTAAGGAGGTAAATGTGATAAGTAGTTTTAAATTGAAATTCATTTGATTTTAGAACTCATAACTGATTGATGTAGAAGTGAATATCGAATGCATATGTCCACACAGCGAAGCGTTTCTAAGTATACTTTATGTAATGATTACCAAAGTCCTAGTAAATATTCAATAACCGATTTGTGATGATGATCAAATCAATAACTTGGTTGAAGTCTTGCTAATTTGTCAGAAAACCAAAAGTGAATGGATCTGAATAGTTGTAAATGTTTTATCTACTCATTATCCTGATTCCTTCCAAAGACTTTTACATTCTCATTTATTTTGGAAAAATCGGCTATATTTTTTATTACTCCACTACTTAATAATATGATCAATTAATCTCGGTGATCCTTAAATATTCCAGGACAATTTTCTACAATTTATCGGATTGTGAAACTTCTAGGTAGAATAATACAATCATTCATTAGAACTTTTTCAGATTAAACAACTAAACACGATGTTTCTTACTAAAACACTTTAAGACTACGATGCACGTGATATCTATCATATCATTAGGAGTCCAAAGCTAGGACTACATTATCTGTCAAATGTAGGGTCATGAGATATTGTGGAAGGCACTAAATTTATCGAGCATTGAATTGCAATTCATTGGTTTACAGCCACAACTTTAATCAACTCACAAAAGAAAAAGAAGTGTCGTTTGTTGAATTGCTGTTTTACTCCACACACAGTTGAATATCACTTGTCACAGAACAGCTGTCCAATACTTCATAATCATTGACTGCTTTACAAATGATATTAATTCTTTACCGAAACTGTCTCTTAGTTAGATATTTACTGCATAGTTTTTTCTGTAGAATGAACATAGTATTGAAAATTGTGTTCACGATATTGACAATCATTTTACAAGTTATTTCGTTTAATCGGTATGACGGTAATCAAAGAAATTTAGAAGAATAATTTGATATTTACGAATGTCATTATTTTCGAACTCGTATTACTCAGTAAAGAAGTTAGAAATCTTGTTCACCTCTCCAAACTAAAATTTACCTCGGAAAGAACTAAACCATTGAAGTAACTGTTATATCCCAGTGAAGATTAAATTACAGGCAACTTTCGAGGACTATCAATGGACTAATATTCTATAAATATTCTTATTGTATAATTATTCAAGAATTACATTATGTGTATTTATATTCCACTTATTATAAGCTTTAATTTGACTTATGGATTATTACTATACGATTTATTATTCTTGAGTTATGGCCTGTCTATTAATTACTATCTCCCGCGTTCACAGACACTTTTTAGCTTATTTGTGTACTCATGTTATCGGTCCGTCCGATTGATATATAAACCGAGTATGTCTGAAATAAATGATTCGATTCATATTACAGAAACTGGTATTGTGTTCTGGACTCAGGTGGACGGGTTAGAAGGACATAGGACCCAATAAGGACGCTAGACTGTTCAAACCGGTTGAACGTCACTGAATTTTCATAGTGCCTAGATTTGTATAAGTCGTATTCTGACTGGTGAATAAGTCACCTGATCAAAAGCCGACATAAAATCATAACAGTTACACTAAAACTACACCAGTTTTCCACACTTGTCAAGTGGGTACTGAACGTTTACTCTGTGAATTTGTTCTAGCGATATAAGAGCAATTACTTAACCATAGCTGACCTATGTGGACAGTAAGAATAGGAAAACTAATTTTTTAGGAATGAACCTTTTCTTACGTTAAAAAACGAAGAAAATTATGATACAGTTTGTTCATAATTACAGTATGCGATTGTCCGTGGAATATATAAAACAAAATGACATTGAAAGATAGCAACCAATAACGAGGAGAAAAAGGTCAGTGCAAGTAATATGAATCCTGGACCTTTAGCGAAATTTCAGCGTGTAAATGTAAGAAAACCTACTAAAGGGACAGGACTCAGTATGAATATTAGTTTCTGTATAGTTTAGGAAAACAGTAACAGTAACTGCTTCTATGAATTTTGTGTTCATGTTGTTGTGCTAATGAGTAAGGTGTTGCAACTTAGATTGATGCATATATGTGCTTGGTACTACGTTGTAGATGACTGATTGTTGATGAAACACCCATGTTTATCATTTTACGTGTTCGTTTGTAGATTTTTTGTTAATAACACAATTTTTACTTTCTAGTGGTAATGTGGTTTAAGCACATTCTGTTTTAATGATACTCAAAATCTTTTAGTCATAGCATGACCCCTCTGGTCTGTAGTTAAGAATCCTTACTATTTGTTTATTTGATCACACAATTATTGGTACGAAAGTGCACCGAATACATATGCGCTACACAAGTCACTTGATTTTGTGTGTGGGTTGTGATACTCCCAGCGTGTCCAAACCGAGGCAGGTGGTTTTCTTAGCGGGTCACACCAGAAGCCTTCAACCTAAAGGTCTGATCTGCAAGGCAGTGGAGCAAGGTTAGGGGATGCAGTCCGATGGTAGCCGGTGGCCAACGATTGGTTCATACTTCATTTGTTCACTCAGGATAACTTAGCCTATGTGCACCATTGATTTGGAATCAGGGTTTTCCAACTACCTTAGGTGAACTCTTCGTGTCCACCAACACGGTTAAAGCGTCGGACATTCGCTTCTCGTCCTCAATTTCGTAAACAACAGCCCCGCCACGAGAAGGCAGTGAGTAGGATTTCCCTGGAGGTGGCTGTATACTCGTAACCATGTGATTGCAATGAAGAGAGAGAGCTGACTCTTCCCACTGTTGGCCGTACCAGGGCATTTGGGGGCTATCCTTACTAGAAAGACTTTAAACTGTTTAGTGTAAATTCTCCTTTGATTTCTACTTCGTATATGTTGAGACTTTATTAACAGAATAGCTTTTTAAAGTTGATTTTATTAAGGCTTGATAAGCGAAGACAGAAAATGGATTTACAACCTATTTGTCGTTAATACTGCCGTAACCAGGCAGTTTAACTTGTAAGCAGGCCAAAGTTTTGTACGAGACCCCCACTTCTTATTTTAAATTACCAATCATATTCTTTTAGCAATTAGGGGAACCATGAATTCCACTCAAGTGATACTGTAGTGATCAGAACATGAGTGGGGACAATCGAATGTAGCTATCAACAAATTACAGAACAACTTATTAAAATCTAACAACCATATATTAAATGCTCAATTTGCAAATTGTTCATCCATTGTCTCAAATGACTCAGAATTCCTTTGTTCTTGCATTTTCATACAAATTGCATCCCTTCTTCATTCTTTGTTGTTCGATCTTCTCGTTGCTCTGCTGCCAGACATTCTGCTTATGACTCACGTCATATACTACTTATGTCTACATAAGTAGCACACACCACAATACGATGTCATTGTTTATTTTAATAATGGAAAGAAAGCGTTAATATATTAGTATTGTTAAGAAAGCCAACACGCTATTTAATTTATTAAGTGATCTAAGAATAAAAGAGAACTATTGGTTCGGTTGCTTTACATAAATAATGTGAATTGTACATTTTTAATTCGCCAAATGGATTGTATCGTGCTTACTACTGGACTTAAAATCTCCATTTCACTCATGTATCTCTTTGTTGGCATGCGCTACAAAGAACCTCCATATCAGTATAACATAGTTGTTCAGTACGTTTTAGTTAGTAGACGATTACTAATCTGACGAATAATCATTAAAATACCTAAAATTGTAAATTGAATGAAAACATAATAAAATGGATATGAGGGTGTTTTGGTAAAACGAAATGATGGCTCAGAACTATTAACAGTAATAATTAATTACGTGAATCAATCAAATTTGAGCAGTTAGTTGGAAGAGATTCGATTAGTTTGCGGTCATTGAGTAGTAATCAATATTGATATAGTAGTAAACAACTATGGAGAGAGATGGATGAAGTGAGTTCATTGCATAGAATAGATTTAATCCAGGAACCTGGAGTGTAAAGATGTTAGTTTACGATTTTCAGATTAACATTGTTTCTACAAATTTCGGTCGATTTGATTTAGGTTCTTGTTGACTATTCATATGTCGGAAAGTTCATCCTGAACGTGGTAATAATTAAACACCATTAAATTATCATGTTTTGGTTAAGAATAAGGTATCACTATGATGTAGTAAAAATCCAGGTAAGTTTAAGACTAAATAAACTTTTGCATATATATAATACGCAAAAGTACATTCCGAAACGTTGTTAATAACTAAAGACCATTGTCCAGAAAGAAGTCACATGATGAATAAAAGCCAACGATAATTAGGATAAAAATAAGTAAACTTTGATTAGTAATAGTTAAAAAGTTTTACATTACAGACTGATTTTTGCCATGCAGCTTGAAACCAGGACTCACTAGAAAACTCTCATCCATGTATGAGATTCCTTACCAATTCATATCCACTAACCCATCAGGGATCAACCAATAACCTTCAGGCCTCGTTG